ATATAAGCAGTCAACTGCTGAAGAGTGGACAGATGGATGTGTCTACAAAACTCTGGAGTCAGGATGCTGAAGATGACATCAATCAGACAAACTTTTACTTATATTAATTATACACATATATATATATATATATATATATATATATATATATATATATACACACATACATACAAAGAGGTATTGAAAAGTTCACAGCCTAACCAAGAAGAGATTAAAAATAAATAAAAAATTCTGATGTTTTTTCATTTGGTCAGAATTTTCTTTTACATAGCAGATCAGGTGAAGTATCTTTCAGCAACCAATTTGTAAATCAATAAATCCATAACCTAATGCAGAAAAATAAAAGTATTTTACATAAATATTTTTAAACATCATTATCATCTTTGTCAATTCACTTAATTCAGTGATGAATATTAATCACGCAGATCAGGCATAATAAATTGAAAAATTCTAACTAAAATTCAGCAAATAAATACATACCAAGGTACAGACATTCACCCAGCCAACCCCATAGGTATCATTTTTACTTGTTTGATTGCTTTACAAAGTTATCCATTACAGTAAGTTTTTGTTTGTGTGTTTTTTATATTAATCTAATACCAACAGCCAACCTTTTAAAAACAAGGATTTTTTTTTGTGAAATAAAATATGGAAACAACAAGTCTGTATTAGGAATGAGTAATAGCTTCTTGAACTAACTGACCTCCATTGTATCCAGATAATCTATCAGAATCATAATGATGTACTTTATTAATCCTTACAAAGAGAAGCTCAGAAACACAACTTTGCCTTCACCAACAACACTGCAGTCATCTATTTCTTACACAAAATATATATATATATATATATATATATATATATATATATACACACAAATAAAGAAGTGTTGGAAAATCCTCAGAAGCTCTTTAATAAATGTAATGTTTGGTCATTTTGGTAAAATTTTGAGAAATAGGCCAAGAATGTTTCAGCACAGTCTCATGTATACCATTTTTCACGAATAAGTCAAATATAAATGTTATTTGAACCACTATGCAAATAAATAAAAATAAAAAAACATATGGAATCAATAAATGAATGCTATTTTTGTAGCCCATAGAGTATGTGTTAATGGTCATCTTATGCCAAGCAATTTGTGTCACAATATTTATCCTTCACCCTCTCTTTTATAATATCAGAATTTCAAAACTTAAAACACTTTGGATATAACAATGAGAGGCAGACCAATGCTCTACATTACACAAGAACCTAGAATAATATTAGTAGAAAAAATTCCATCTTTTATTTGCCTGTTAAAAACTGTTGTTGGGCTTCTAATTAAAATAGTTGTTGTAAGATGACATTAGGAATGTTTCATTTTTTAACTTTGTCCAAAAAATCGCAAGATTCTATTATGGTAATTGCCACATCAACATGCAGTTTGTATCAAAATGAAATAAAAATATATTTGCTTATTGATTTTAATATTAAAAGTAGAAATTAAGCAGTCTTTTAGTAAAGGTAAAAATGCAGTTCCACATTTATAAACTGATAACCAGATTCTAAGTTAAGGTTTAGTAATTAATATTATTGGTGTGTTGATATTAAAACATCCATTATGCAGGTAAGTCATACAAGAATATATATCTCATTTTTAAAATCGTTTTTCAAAGAGACACAGATAATAACAAAGAATCGTTTAAATTAAAATGACAATTACAAGTAGCAAATAAAAAGAAATGAAAACTATTGGCAATTTTGTATAAGATAAAGTCAAATCACACATACAAACATTTGCAAAATGCTACATAAAAGTTTGGAGAATATGAACAACATACCCAAACCAAATGTAATATGGACTTTTGCATGAAATTTAGAGAAAAACTTAACATACAAATGGGATTTGGGTTTTTTTCTAGAAAACTTCCTGGTCAAACCATGAAAAATATTCTGAAAGGAAAAAATTCTGATATTGTTTTGGTCATTTAGTCATACTTTTGGAAGGAAACTGAACCAAAAAATCTTCAACACCTTCAAGGTAACTTCTTGTCATCAGCCAAAAAAAATAACAGCTTTTTTTTCAAGAAAGGTCCTTACAAAACATTTACATACTCAACAAAGGCATATGTTCTTGTCCTTGTGACACGAGAGAGTGAGAGAGAGAGAGAAATAGAAAGTATGTTATATAAATTTGGATTATACAAATCATGACTTGAATGACTGAAGAAAAGCAAATAAATAATTAAAAGGACGAGTCAGCAAGCCAAGAGAAAGCAAGTGACAAATATCCAATGGCCAGTGAAACTTTATGACCCTCTAATTTTTCACAATTACAGATAAGTAAAAAATGAAAAAAAATACGTAAGTTATTATATTCAGTTCATTTTAAGATTTAATTTGCTTTAAACATGCCTATGGATGTTTTAAAAGGAAATTTCTTAATTAAAAGATAGGATCAGTAAGTTTGTATACCACCTTAGAGTAAGGCACTGAGCCAAATCGTTCTATCACACTAAATGAAAAAGTCACGTTTCAAAAAAATAGTCAAACTTGGGTATAGGGTAGGTATGTGATACCTAAGGTTTAATATGCATTTTAAAAATGAAAAATCTTTCTTGAAGCTTTTATTGTAGTTTTAATTCCAAGCTAATAGATTCCAATAAGCAAAATACTTTGGTGTATTTCAAACTGAATTGAAATTGTCTGAAATCTTCTTTTTTTTCTGATTATCAGTAAAAATCAATAAAATCATTCATATCCACAAATTTATCAACATAACATAACAATTCTCTTCATTAAAAAATATTTAAAAAATAAAATATACTTTTCTGAAATGTTATTTCAGAAAAATTAGCTGGCTTAAAGTTTTGTTCATCTGAATTGAAAAATATTAATTATTTTCAGTTTAAAATATTGCAGAAAAGCATTTTTTTAATACAGTGGTAGGTGTTTTTATTAGGTGTTGACAAATTTATTGATAACCTGACAAATTTAACCAAATTTAAATAAGAGGAAAATCATTTTTTTTAGCTACACAGTAATCTTAATTTAAAATATTTTAAACATTCTAATATTTTTATTGAATTTTTTAGGTACATTGGCTTTTTAGTCTTACTTATGAAGATGCTTTATTTATTAGTTACAACTTGTATTTTTTGATATTACTTGACCGCTACAAATTAATACAAAATTTAAAAGTTTATAAATTATTCTAATTAAAAATATTTAAAAATGAAAACAATTCTTTTAAAAATTCATTATTCATAGAAAAAATATTTTTCTTAAAACAATTAATTTCAATAGTGTCCATATCTTATTTATCAAAGCAATTTTAAAAGTTTTTCTAATTAAATACCTTACTTTAGTTTTTTTTATTCCATTTTTTTTTTTTTTACAATTCAAAGCAGATTTTCGTTTTAACTGGTTGTCCTGTTGGCTAAAAAAAATTCATTTAAATTCACCGAGGACATGTCCATAGCCATACAAAAAAGAATTTCTCAAAATTTCATAAAATTAAAGTTAAATGAGTTGGGTGGTGTGTTGTGGTGTTAAGAGATGTAAAAAAAAATATTTTTAAAATAATTGTATTAATTTCTGAATAAGTCCTGAAAGTTTCACTGAAATCCTACAATTATCTGATTTTTGCAAAAATTTCCAAATCAATGTGTCTTTCACCGCAAAAACGTTATCAAATTTCCGCACAAGTTTATTATATGGTCCCACGTTGACACCAGAGATTTTTTTACCAAAATTTCGAAGTAGGAGCTTCCAAATGGATTTAAAAAAATAATTTTTATTTTACATAAACAATCTATCTTTCCTCTTCTTAATAATAACACAAAGATTTTGACGATAAAACTTTGTTTTATTAAGTTTTGGGCACTTTAATTTTTCATCATTGTAAACAGAAACTCGTTTATTAGCGAATCTTTGGAGCTTCCTAATCCTAGTATAGGAGAATGAGTTAAAAAAAGTCAATAAGACTTATCTTCAGAAGTTCAAATAATCAAAAGTTCAAAACCTTTATTCATTTAAATAAATGTTCACACATTTTTCTTTCTTCAAAATCAAATCATCTGAAAACAATTTCAATTTTTCATTTAAAAATCAATTGAATAGACATTCAGATAAAAAAATTAATGACAAATGAAAATGAAAGAAATTCGGTGTGTAGAAAAAAGAAAAGAGATTTCGTTCTTAAATCGTAAAAGTAAAACCCAGAAAGCAAAACACTAACTGAATGGATTACTAATTTAATAAACATTTTTATGACTACATTTGAAATGTAAATAAAAAAAAGAGTCACTTTAAGAAGAATCTTACATCCTTTGGAAAATTTCGTTCATGAAATCTTTCATTTGAAAATGTTAATATGAAGTTTATTTTCACGTCGAAATATTTGTTCCGCTCAGCTTATAAAGTGAAAGGATGTGTGCGTGTGTGTAAGAGAGAGAGAAAGAGAAAGTGGGGGAACAGTAGAAAGTCTATGAATATGTCACTGTGTGCCTGATGAAAACAGAAAGTATAATAAAGAAAGAGTGAAATTTGCGTCTCCCTCTCTCTCTATTCATTTCTGCCTTGAAGGCAAGCCTTCTTTAACAGCGTTGCTTACTTCCGGGTGATAAGTAGAGGACCTTGTCTTGTACTGCAATTCCAGCCGACTCGGGTCGCGCTACAGACATAAGGAGGAGACGTGATTATAAGTTGTAACAAAAGCAGTCATCATTCAACAAAGCAAAACTACAATCAGCCAAGTGTGACACTCGACCACCGAGTGCTAGTCAGTAACCCAACAAGTCAGGTAGGTGAGAAACATTCCCGATGGTTCGGGTCTGAATGCAACGAATTCAATTCGCTATACCCCTCACCCGGTTCACCCTCATTTTCTTTCATACATCTGCCCGTTCCCCGTTCTCATTATCTACTAAGTCATCGCCATGCAATATCCATCAGCGTGGACTTCATCGTTTTTTATTGTCTTGACAACCATAGGCTTCGGTGTCATTGTGTCGAGTGTTGCAATGGTCACAGCGGCCGCTGCTGCAACACGTGCAGCTGCACCTAGTGCACCGGCGGCCGCACAAGCTCCTGCCACACCGAACAAAAAAAGCAAGTCGGCCACGGCCTACGGAACGAACTGTGCTTACACGATTGTGGTCAACGAACTGGACTCTTCACAGTGTCCGGCAATGACACAACCTGTACAGTCCGACCGAATTCCGGATGACGACGAGTATCAGAAAAAGTTGACTTCAAACGAGGTGCATGGACTCACTTCGAAAATCCACAACGTCGAAACGACCCTGCTTGGGGAGATCGTTAAAAACCGTGAACTTAACACAACATTGGCTGAACACGCAGTTATGTTGAGAAAAGCCGAAGACCTATTCAACATGTACCAAAACAATTTCACTTCTTTGTTTCGGACCATCATGTTTATTGAACAAAAAATTCGCAAACAGAAAGAGATCAGTCGCAATTTGGACAACAAACTGTCTAACATCATGCTTGATGTGGTGGAAGTGAACAACGTGTTGTTTCGGAAAACGACCGGACCAGGTACGAGTCTTAAGCAGAAACATATTAAGGTGGAAAGTGCTTCGCATGCGCGTCAATGTGGAATTACCAAAGACACTCCCATTTTTAAAGGTAAGTAAAGAAACGTAATCGTTATTAAAATTCCATAGCTTAACCGTATTTGAATTGTGTAACGAAAATCATTTATCATCCTCAACTCTCAAGTTCAGAGCTTTATCAAAAATTCCGACCGAATATCGAACACAGAGAAATGTTTAGTGGGGAAAAAATGCTAAGTAGTGAAAAAAAAGTTTATCAAAAATCAAAAGCATCAAACAAGCATCGCAATGCGTTATGAAACAAGAAGAATAAAAATAAGAAAACTTACCTAAAGTAAACAGAAACTGATCGAAAAACTTCAAGTGTTTAAAACACACACGTTTTTGTTTGCTTTTTTAAAAATAGTCAAGGAATTCGAGAAAATTAACATAAATCATTGTTTTTGGTAAATGGTAGAGACAAACAACATCTACCTCTAAATGACAATTAAGGGGAATAAGAATAAGATTGTGTTGCGTCATTATTCAAAAAGGAAAATGCCTGACCGGGAAAATAGTATTCGAAATCCTTGTTTATGCCTAGGTTCGAACACTAATTTCTGCTACCAGTAGAAATGAAACTATCTCAACTCCGAAGCAGACCATAAGATTGAATTTTATCTTTAAAAGTTCACGGTCTGTCTCCAAACGACTAGAGACAGACAGGTGGTCCCAGGAAATTTTAATTGATTATCCACCGGCCGATGTCATAGAAAAAATATTCACAGAATTGAAAAATATTGCTGTAAATAAAATTAAACTCGGGAGGAGTATACAATCCTAACTAATCAGAGAATTCAATTTATAATGAAAAGTTTCTACTCTAAGACTGATAGAAAGACTGTGAAATAAGAAAATAATAAAAAAAAGTTTTTTTTTGCTTTTTTAAAAGCAATTGAAAACATTGAGATACAGACTCAACTTCGAAAAAGCATTGTTAGAGTTTCTGTTTATTATTTATTTATCCTAGATGCTATGAACCGTTTTTTTAGAAATCGTTAGAAAAACGTATTGAAAATTAAAGTATTATACAAGAAGTCAGCAACAAATTACGATACAATAAATTAGAAAAGTGATAATAAATAGATAAAAACTTCATGGAAAAAGAGGTTAAGTTTAAGATGTTATTGTTGTTGTTATTATTATTGATTGATTGATTGATTGACGCGCGAGCAAAATACACAACATAAATTACGGACCGGTTCAGTGATTGACAATCCAAAGCTCTCATATCTTATTGTTTACTCTTTTTAAAAAATCTATCAAAGCTTAGTTTATTAACTTTTTATTAAAAACAATTCAAAATTATAATTATTTTAACGAATAATTAAAATTAAAAGTTACTGCACTCTTTTCCTTTACTTTTTTTTCTTATTTTAAAAATGTTTTACTTTTATGAGAGAAAACTAAAAGGTTTTTTAAAACTCTCTTCTCGCTTCTGCAATATAGTATAATTCAAATATTAATTAACTTTTCACTGCTGGATGTTCGGGTTAATTAATACATTTTTTTTTTTTTTTTTTGTTTGTTGTGGCTCATTTAGTAAACACTGTTAGTGTTCTTTAACTGGTTGGCTGTTCAGAGTTCGAAATACTCCACGCCACTCTTTCTAATCAATAACTTTTTCAGAAAGTGTTAAGAAGCGCAGTGTTCATCGCCAATATTTCCCGCTTGGAAATTTAGAAAAAAAAACATTGAAATTAAAAACGTGGCCGCTTAACGACAATCCATTATTTGTGAAATGTCGAGTTGGTTAAAATTAAAAAAAAAATAATTGAAAAAAGCAGATACGCTTTCAAACAGTAACACGGTGTGGTAAAAAAAATAAAACGTCAAGTTAGTGAAAAAAAAACTTGAAAACACGAAAATAACGAGTCTTTTATGCTAAAATACTGTGGAAACCACTCAGATAATTTACCTGAATAAATTTTTATTTATATATCTTATTTTACTTTTTACATGTGAGAAAATAGCCTATTGATGACTTTCAAAATTTGCAATTAAATTCAAATTTACTAGCCAAAATAACTTTAGTTGATCACATGATATCAGGCGGCAAATCCAACCAATGAAAAGTGAGGAATAAAAGAGAAAACTAAAATTTGATGACATATATACTTATTTTTAGTTAAGATTAAGAACTTACGAAGCTTAAAAAAAATTAAATCATAAATGAAAATTTTAAATATTTATTTGCGACGTCAAATTTGTCAAGCAATACTAAACAAAAACTGATCCAGTATTGACATTATTTGTTGAATGAGAACAGTAAATATTTTAGAAAGCGGCCGCAGTAGTAATGTATGCCAATGTAGAATTACGAGCGAATTGTCCTCTACCATTTGCATTTCACCCACGTTTTTCCCCGTGATTTAAAGATTTATTCGCATTCACACGCATTATTTAGAATGGAATGTTGTGCGTCTGTCTTTACAAACACACCCTGATACACAAGCACATTTCAGCATACAATACACGTCGTAAAAGTCTGTACTGATACGCGTTTTCCGTAAAATATTTTTAAGCAATCTCGTCTCGCAGGCATTCGCTAGTGAAGTGAGTGTTCTAAGTTCGATCGTTATTAGCGACTTCACTGTATTCCCAAACTATTTAGTAAAATATTAAAATAAAAGAGTACGGAAATAAAATAAGGGTAAGATAGATTTAAAAAGCAACAAAATTATATCAAATTTAGGTTGTTAACCAAGAAAATTAATTTTGTGTGTGTTAGAAGGAAAATTTTCAAACAACTTGTTACCGCTAGGCTAGAGAACCTGTGACAAAGTTCCTCTACCATTCCTGATAAGTTTATTCATTGCATCACATATTCATCCTACGCGCATAATTTATTAACTGAAGTTAGTTTATTTTGGTTCGGAGCCACAAGTGTAGTGCACCCGATGAGATACGAATTCACTATATAATTAATTTGAATTAGCTAGGTGGCCCCCACAGTAAAATAATCACACGTGTATCTATAATAAGCTCAAACACACAAAGTACACATGTATTTTCAATATATATCCCTTACTTTAACCAGCAAAACGAAAATAAAAAATATTTCACATTTTAAGGCTGTGTATGTGTGTAAAAATGTGTGAGCATAAGTAAATAATGTGAGTTCACTCAAATAAATAAAAATAAATTGCGTATAAAAACTTAATCCAACCAAACTCTCCAACTTAAACATTCCAGAATCCTGTTAACAACACTGACGACCACTTCCTACTTCTTTCACGACTTTTTCCTGTTTTTATAGAGACAGACAAAGTGAGTGGGGAGGAGAGGGAAAAGAAAACATTCCTTCAAATTATGTATATATATATATATATAGTGACTTGTTTGTTAGGAGAAAAACATACCTAGTTCTTTTTTATCCCTAATTTTTTCAAGAAAGCAGTTGTAAGCAGATCAGGGTCAGGGGACACATTGCTAGTAAGCAAAGTGGGTAGGGGACCTCAACAAAATGATGTCTATGTCAAGGGAAAAGTAAACATTTCTTATACAGGTGCTAGCTGAGAGATCAGGTGGCCTGAGAACTGAGGTAGGGCAGGGATTCCAGACTAGAGGGGGTCAGACAGAGTTAGAAGAAAGTACAAGCCCTACCTATCCATCTTTCACAATAACCCCCTTTTTAGGGTTTTGACATTTGAGAGGGGGGGTGTTGCACCAGTTTCATCATTCCATGGAAATAATACATGTTGGTAAACTTTTTATTTGAAGACTGTTATTTGGATTTCCTTCTCCAGAATATTAACAACTATTGAGTGGTCAACTAGATATCAAGTTGGGTTTTTCATAGCATCTCTTGAACAAGGGGGGAGAGAGTGGGCATATCTTCTCTATACTACCAGTAGCAAGAAAGAAAGCTTCACCTGACTGCAACTCTATCAGATGGATAACTCAAATGTTTCACCATGATGTTTCAAATCTTTTTAAAATATTTCTCTGCTTTTAATATACTTTCTTTCAACATTTCAACTGTTTATTCCTTGACATCTTCAGGAAAACAGAACAGTATGTTTAAAATGTGCCACACTCAATATATATATATATATATATATATATATATATAAAGACTTGTCTCATTAAATAATTTAGACAAGTTTTGTCTACTTATTTTTAATAGGATCCTCTCAATTATGGACAAGTTTCTTAATATCCTTATTAAAGGAAGAAAGAAAATTACCATGTTGATGCATATTCAAATCTTTACATATGGTATATCTCATTTATTCAATGTTTACATGGGTACATCAATAAGTCCATAGTCTAATAATGTTTTTTGAAACAAATATTTATTTTTCATTATAAGTTATACAGTTTGAGTTGTCAAAGATATATAGTGTCTAATAATTTCATTCTTCATCCAGATTATACAAAGTTGTTAAATATTAAAACATCTAATACAGAATAAGTATTTACTAAGGTTTAATCTGTTACAAGTTGGCAATTTTTGGAAACTCTGAGAATCAAGCTGACTATATTAACAAATGCTAGATGAGCTTAACAACACTTCAAAAAAGAATAAGTTAACAGCTTAGCATTACTTGAGGAAAACTTTTCATTTCTGATAGTCAACTCATTAACCACCTTAAACGGTTTTTATATGCATTGATCAGCTTCAGTGACATTTTCAGACAAAATCTACTTCAAATAAACATAAAATAAACTAAACAAATTCCAAATAGCGCATAAATTATATATATGTAATAAAATAAAATGCTAGCTAGTATTACTAGCACATCTATATAATTTAACATATATCAAAAACAACAGAATTTTTATTAATAAAGTGCTCAATATAAGATGACAACAATAATTATTATTATTAAAATAGAAGTAAAAATATTCAATACTTATTGAAGATCAATTCAGAGTTTCATAATTTTTTAATCATTCATTGAGTTTCTTGAAAGAAATTACTGCATTGTTCACAGAATATCTATTCTATAAATGCATATTTATACACTCATTTTTCAAATTTAAATCTTACAGTTACAACTCCCAATTTCACAAGTTCCTTGCAACAAT